CTCCTGCAAGAAGAGAATGATTCTCAACTTCTAGCATAGTGATTTAAAACATCTTGTCAATTAAACATAGTTTGGCTTCTTTTAACCACTTGCAAATCAAATCAAATCAAATCAAATCAATCAATTTGTTATGTGCAGACATAAAAGAAGCGTCGGAGGTTATCCCCATCAAAGACGCTCCCTACATAAAATATAAAATATATGTACAACAATGTAAAATTTAAGAGTCATTAAGAAAGTTTTTTATGTTTATATATAATATATATATATATATAATTATAACGAACTGGTTCAAGACTTCAGAGGTAGTTCATCGTTTTATTATGACAGCTCTGTTTCGTATGGTCGAAAATGACCACACTCATCAGGTAATTTCAACGATTGACTGTTAACTTACAATGACTGGCTATAAAAGCTGGAATACGGTTGCTAGGAGTTTTAAAAACGACGCTACTTTTCCATATAAGTCATGGGACTGGTATGTATAATTTCGGAGATTGTTACTTTATTATGAAGTTTTTAAGGAGGTATCTGTTTCTATGGGGGCATCAACTTGCTAGCTCATTTCGCTTTGTTAGACTGCAAAGTTCCTTTTTACATTATTATGATCATGAATTTTTGAAAAAGACAAATTACATTTCTTAGTAATTTGTTGTTGTACAGTTTGCATTGTTTGATGATTTTCCACGTTAGCTTGAAAGGTTTGTTGTTGTCCTTCAGTGTCCACATGTGTTTAGATAATTCAGTCTCGTGTCTCCTGTTTTGGTGTCGGAAGGAAGCTGTGTGGTTTCTGTACCGTTCTTTAAAGTTTTTCGTGAGTCCCACGTATGAATCTGTTGACGTTTTAGTTGTGACTGTTGCTTAGTATACTACATTTGATGTGAGGCATTTTCCATCTAGTGGGCATTGGTCTTTTTTCCGGCAGTTACATTCTTTGTCTAGTGTTTGTGGTGAATTTTGTGACTGGTTGTAATCTGATTGTAGCTTTTTGTTGTGTGACGCCATGATAGTTTTGATGTTAGGCATGCAGGAGTAGCTTATCCTTAGTGTGTGGCCATTGAAGATCTTATGTAATGGATAGTTTTTTGGGAAGCATCTGTCAACATTATTTAAGAACTTTCTTCCCAGATTGGTCTTCACGTTGGAGTTCCATGGTGGATTATACCATATCACTTTTCTTTTGCGAACTTTGCAGTCTAAACAAGCGAAATGAGCTAGCAAGTTCATGCCCCCATAGAAACAGATACCTCCTTAAAAACTTCATAATAAAGTAACAATCTCCGAAATTATACATACCAGTCCCATGACTTATATGGAAAAGTAGCATGGTTTTTATATCTCCTAGCAACGGTATTCCAGCTTTTATAGCCAGTCATTGTAAGTTAACGGTCAATAGTTGAAATTACCTGATGAGTGTGGTCATTTTCGACCATACGAAACAGAGCTGTCATAATAAAACGGTGAACTACCTCTGAAGTCTTGAACCAGTTCGTTATAATTTCAATGCTCCTCTAAGAGTTGAGCGCTCTTTGAAATACATTCAAATCAAGTTCAAGAATATATATATATATAGTTTTACATATTTTACAAAATTTTACAATACTTTCTAAGTTTACTACGAAAAATGTTAAAATCCTGTTCATGCACCATCTCTTTAGGAAGAGCATTCCACTGTTTCACAACTCTAACAAAGAATGTGTGCTAAAAAACAATTTACTCTAGCTAATGGCTGTCTTAATTTAAATGAATGGTTTGATCTTATTTTACCATAACTATTAAAATCAAAATAATCATTACAGTTGAGGCRATTAAGACCATGAATAGTCTTGTAACACTCTAGCAAGGATAGATAAGACCTCCTTGACTTAAGACTGGAACACCCAAGCATTGCCAGTCTTCGTACAGCAAGTGCCTAGATGACATCAGGACAGCGTATTTTGAGGCCCTACGTTGTACTCGTTCAAGAGCATCAATGTTCTTTTGTAAATTATGGTGACCAAAGGGGGACAGCATATTCCAGAATGGGTATAACCAAGGCCTTGTACAGATGAGGAAAGACTTCCTTGTTCCCTGCACCGACATTCTTCTTAAGGAGACCCACAATCTTATTGGCTTTATTTACAACTTTCTGCGTATGGGTGTTCCAGGATAGATTTAAAGACAATGAGACCCCCAAATCGACCATTTCGGTGACACACTGAAGCGTACAACCACGATAGCTCGTAAGGATAGCTGGTGTGATCTCTTGCATGGGTAACATGTAGGACCTCACATTTGTCATGTGAGGGTGAAAACTTTGTTGCCAATTTTCGCTCCATTTCTGTAGCGTGTTGAGGTCACATTGGAGTTGTTTCTCATCGTTTTCATTGTAAATGATCCTGTAGACCTAGTTGTCATCTGCAAACAGACGCATGCTTGACTTTATGCTAGTTGTAATGTTGTTGATATAAGCAAGGAAAAGGACTGACCCAAGTACACTACCTTGGGGAACACCAGAGGTGACTATCCTCCAAGGAGAAAAGTGCCCATGGAATGAGACTCTTTGTTTTCTATTTGATTTTACTTGCAATTGAGGTTAGGGAAACAGGTCTGTAGTTTTCTACTTTGTTTTTGGCTCCTTTCCTGTAAAGCAGAATAACATTTGCTGTTTTCCAGTCATCAGGAATTACACCACTATTAAATGAAGTATTAAACAGAGTACACAAGGGCGAGGCTAGTGAGTTACTACAATGGTTCAAAATCCTTGGATGAATGTCATCTGGGCCACAACTTTTATTGACATTTAATTCCTGCAAGAGCTTTTCAACTTCAATGGGAGTAGTTGATAGCTGTGTGAGATGTTCAGTTCTTACAACTTGCAGGAAATTTGGAAGATGAGTCAAGTTTTCTGATGTAGAGACAGAAGCAAAATAGTGATTGAAACTGTCCACAATATCTTTATGATCAGTCAGAGTCTCTGTATCTTCTCTTTCAGTGTCACGAGATTATTTGTTCCGTTCCAGCACGAGCGAACATAGTTCCAAAACAATTTGCTATTGTGTTCATTTGCAGTTTTGACACTTATTTGTTTATGGTATATATTCCCAGCGCACTGCTTGCATGCCTTCTTTGTTCTACTATTCAAACTTTGGTAACACTTCCAAAGATTGCCAGAGTTTGATGCCTTGGCTCTTTTGTAAACAATTCTTTTCTGCCTAATCAACTACAATACATCTGGCGTCAGCCATGGTGCGTTTTTCATTTTCCTTGGTGATTTGGGTGGTATACAGGTCTCAACTGCTGTGAAGAGTAAATCTTTAAACATTAGCCAGTTTTCCTGAATATCATCAGTCAGGAAAGCACAGGTCCACAGAACAAAATTAAGCAGTTCATGTAGCATATCCAAATTTGTCTTAGCAGGTCCACATCAGCTATTGCAGCTGCCAATTAATCAACCTGCTTAAACAAATAAATGAATGAAATGAAATGAAGTGAATTTGTAAACCTTCTTATGCAATGGATTCTTAGAAGGTGACATCTTAACTTCAAAAGTGATGGAGTTATGATTGGAGAATTGTTCGCCAACTTGTAGATTTCTAATCAACCCCTCATTTGATGTTGTCACAAGATCTAAGATATTTTTTCTGCAACTAGCCTCCAGGGTTAAAGTGAAGAACAACTCCGCTAAAAGTCTGTCGGCCAACTGTCAGCCAGCAGTATACCAACAGTTGAACAACAGTTGACCAACAGTTGACCAACAGTTGACCAAGAGCAAATTGACACTTAAAAATTTGACAAGTGTAAAGACATTGCAGTTACTCGACCCTTACCGTTCTAGTAGAATCAGTCGCATGAAGTTGTGACACAAAATGATCCAGAAGAATATCCATTAGCCTGCAATTTAGGTCAGTATCACAGAGAACAGAATTATTAGACCAGTTGATGTCTGGAAGGTTAAAATAGCCAACCAATACAATCTCAGCAGAGTTATTGAACTTGTCCAGAGAAGCACTTAAGTCAACCAGAGGCTTAACTGAATTATTTGGCAGCTGGTAAAAGACTCCAAATGTTTACAAATGATTTGTTTTTCCCATAGAAAATATCGACCCACAGGATTTCTGAATTGGCATCACAGTCACAATGTGTAGATAAAATTTCATCTCTGACAGCCAAAAGCACACCCCCTCCTTTTCTATTTCGATCCTTGCGATAGACAACGTAGTCCAGTAGAAATAATTCCGCGCCAAGTATGGTATCCTCAAGGTGAGACTGACTGTGACAATGTCGTAACCCTTCAGAGCGAGCTGAGATTCCAAAAACGCCATCTTAGTTACCAGCAAACACGCATTAAAGTACAGAATAGATAAGGCGGTCCTCCCTGGTATCGATACAGGACCCAGGTTGGAAGAGATGTCGCCACGTTGCAAGTTGTGTCATAACTACATCGTTCTCAAATGCGAAACAAGCTAAGGAAAGATAGACAAGAAAGAAGAGAGCACACGATAGCATGGTTGCTAGCCCCATGGCCTTCCAACATCTAAACCCTTAGATGTGTATTGAGAATAATCCTACATTGTCCCTTGTTTTCTTATACTGAGAGACCAGAAATATTTCTGATGAAATTAATTAATATCATCTATTCATTTCATTGTGTTACGTAGGTGATAATAATCATCAAAACAAATTTGCATCCATGTCAGCAACCAACACATAGCATAGCCTTTTGTCTTTCCTTTGCTTGCTTGTTTTGGGCTGCACTGATGCTGATTTTGAGAGTGGTCAAAGATGTAATGAACTCTCACTATACATGTAATGTATAGTGACTGGGTCTTTAATACCCAGCCATGCACCCATTAGATTGGGAACTGAGCCCACATGTCTCAACTGAGCTTAAGTGGGATTGTACGTGAAAAGGTTATTTATTTTAAAAATGTTTAAACCAAGTGCTAAACATTTTTTATCTAGCTATATATCTTTGAGCAATGAAATGACTAATTTTATGTACCAAATTTGATGTTCAGTCTCCATCAAGTACACCTGTAACTTCATCTGCGAGCAACCCACCTTCCCAATCAGTTCCTTCATTTCAGTCTGGTATGGAGGGGCTAGGAGGACTTGACATGTTTGGAAACTCAGGTACTTCTCATGCCCTGTGTAATATGTCCAGCTGTATGACTTTCAGATTGTTTCTTGTTACCTTTCTGTTAGGCTTCATGTTGATTTTTTAGATAGCCTGTGATGATGCTTCATATGTTTTAAGGAGATCACTTATCATGTCTACCAAAATTAATTTTTGGTTTTACATCTAGGTAACCAGCTGTTAACCAAGGCTTCCTAAACGAGTGTTTTCTTTAATTTTGAGTGGAAAACATATGTTGTAGACTTGGGAAAGTGTCCAACAAAAAGTATTGAAACAGATTTCTGGGTCTTTCTAGGGGTCAAGGGTTGATAACTTAAGCCATGGTCTGGACCAGATTGCACAAATATTTGCTACCAATAGGGAATATCAAACTAGCTGTAAGATTGTCAAGAGACAAGGATGGTTAACTTAGCATGTATTCAACAGTTGTGTAACTATGTGTTAAATTTTAGGCAGTTATCAGATAAAGACAAACTAGGTACATTTTCATGCACTGCTTCACACAAAAACAATTTGAAGAACTGCTGTTTAGACTAAATGTATTGCAAACTCAAGTTTATGATTGATATTTGGTGACCGTTCTTCTAATATTGAATATGGTATATTATTTTTCAGGTAACATCCACCAAATGTCACAACAGGTAAGGCTGAGACAGAAAGAATACAAGACAGTAAATCTTGTATTAGTATTTAAGGTGATAAACACAAACATAAGCTCAGGAACTAGTATCAACAATGTTCTTCAGCAAGCTAGCAACCTTACTTGCAACTTTTTCCAAGTTTTGTTGAAATATCTCACTCTCCTCTCAATTTCAAGTTTTTAGGATTTTTTCATATAGGAGTAAACAATATTGATAATAATAGTTTTTCAGAGGATACTTTTCCTTTGTTATAGTTAAATTTTCATTTTATGAGTTTTTGTTTTGATAGCGTCGCTAATTACTGTTTGTTTGTTTATGTCTGTGAACCAAGGTGATTGTTTTCTTTTAATCATACTATCAGTATAACCACAATGATACCTGTTTCAAACATCTTTTTTAATGGCAGCTCATGTCCAACCCAGAGATGCTGAGACAAATGATGGACAACCCCATGGTACAGGTAATGCAGCTAATATTTTTTTTCTGGTTCCATGCAGCTAGGTGGCACAGAAAACATTCAATAACATTAGTATTCTCAGCTTGTACACCAGAGAATAACAAATTTTTCAGTGACTTACTTTCTCTCTGTGCGGTCTTTCAAAATTCATCCTCTTTATTACAGTAATTTCCGGCCGTTTACCCGCATGGCCAATTACCCACACCGGCCAATTATTGCATATGGTGAAAAAAAGTCAACATATTACCCACACTGGTGTGAGTGATTGTTCAACGCCATGTTGAATTGTTGATTTCTCAAAAAAAAATCGATATCTCTGTTTTACTGGGCTTAACAAGTCCCTTAAAATGGGAAAATTCTCTTCAGCTCAAGCTAGTGTTAACTGGAAATTTGTTATTGATGCGCCAGATACCCTTGGATTATTTTTGTCACCATCAAGGTTTTGTGTACATGTGTACCGATAAAAATCTATTCATTGCGCAACTAAAAAAAACACATATATATATATTTTAATGGGTACTTTGGGTTGGGATTGGTTTTCCACTTTTTTCTTTCATACTCGGGGTTGGGTTTGGGTGTTAATATTTTATAGGGGACCTAGAGTCCTATTACATTATCACCTGTCCTCGGGCGAATCATGAAATGAATAAATATATAATTGTGTGTGAAATAAACTTGAGTTGGCATCATGTTTTTGTGCCACTTTGTGGCACTTCTAATACAATAAAATTCATTTGAGAGGTGGAACTGCAGATAGGTGAAAATTTTTTTCAATTCAACTACCAGTAGATTTCAAAATTGTCACATAACCTGCATCTCCCTATTACCCGCTGTGGTGCGTGTTTAGACAAAATAAACAGATTACCCGTGGGTAAAGGGCCGGAAATTATGGTACATATTAATCAAAGCCTGCAAAATAGCCTTCCACATGTATAGTTGATGGCATCTAGAGTGCATGTTTGACTATGTTGGCCTGGATGCCTGTGGACCCACTGGTTTATTATTATTATTATTAACACTTTTTTTTTTTTTGTAGAATCTCCTTTCTTCCTTGTGCAAGATTCTTGCACACATTTATTGTAGTCGTGTGCAGAGCACACATTTGACTACACTGTTGTCTGCCATCTGTTAGACAGCTAATGACTAATAATTTTATTGAACCCACCGCCTACTTTCACACTCCTCAATTACATTACTGCAATTGTTAAAATCTCATGATATTCTTTAACAGTATTATTGTAGGGATAATACAATGTACACCCCTTACAATATTAACTATATCCCTTGGAACATTACCTTGCACAAGAATTTGCTGGCACTTTGTTCTGCTTGGATTTGGTTTTTGGTCCAAAAATCTTGAATAAGATAATTTTTATATTCAGTTCATATTACTGTAAGTTTAGTTATGATATCATTGCTGGCTTTTGATTCTCAAGAAGTCATTATTTGCATTCAACTAAACGCAACGTACATCTTTTAAGCTGGTACAAGCGTGAATACTGATTCTTTGTCATTATTTTGTTTAGTGCTTTGTTTACTCAGGTTGACTGTTCATGAGTATTAATTTGTTGTAAGCAAAGAAGTTTCTGTAAGACTTAAAGTTTTCAAAATTCTGATCCCCCCAAAAGTCTTACCAATTGAACACTTCTGTAATGTCACATGTTTCTGATAGTAACCCCACTTCTTTAATGTTGGTGTTGATAATTTTCTCCCTGTCTTGTTACAGAACATGATGTCAAATCCTGATCTTATTAGGCAGATGATTCTAAGTAACCCACAAATGCAACAAATTATTGAGGTAATAAAGAATTAATTTAAAGTGAAAATAATACTCAACTTATAATAGTCACAAACTCTTGCTCCAAGATCAAGTTTCATGGGATTAACATGAGGTATCCTGCATCTAAGCATCCATAAGATTTCTGCATAAAGCAAAAATATATGCAAGGAAGAAACTACCAATGAAATATTGGTAGGTAATACTATTAAAGGAAAGTGTTCGGATTGGATGTCAGTGAAGTCCAGGGTGCCCCAAGGAACAATTCTTGGCCCTATTTTGTTTATCATCTACGTAAATGACATCTCAACAGATTTGACATCTACTGTTAAGATTTATGTGGATGTTACTAAAATCTACTGTACAGTCAGTTCGCCAGATGTTGATATCCCTGCCCTGCAGAGTGACCTAGATCGATTGAGCATATGGGCGAATAAATGGCAGATGCACTTCAATCCAGATAAATGCCAGGTCATGCATATTACACATAGACAGGATAAAACTAAATTTACCAATTTACCAAAATTTAACAAATTTACCAAAATTACCAAACTTAACCAATTTACTTGCTGGGGGGGCATTTTAGGTCAGTAGAGAACACTAAGGACCTCGGAGTAACCATCTCTTCTGACCTGTCCTGGGGCATGCTTGTATCTGCAGTGGTAAATAAGGCAAATATGGTACTAGGTATCATAAAGCAGTCCATCGGAACTAATAGCCAGTATGTGTTTTCGCAGCTCTATAAGTCACTGGTCAGGCCCATACTGGAGTATGCAGCTCCTGTTTGGAGTCCGTATTTGATTAAGGATATTACAGCTCTAGAAAAGGTTCAACGAAGAGCTTCACGACTAGCTTTAAGGCAGAAACGAGGCAAAATGAGTTACGAACACCTTTGTAGCTTACTAAAATGGCAAACACTCGTAAAGTGGAAAGAATTTCTATCTCTGGTTCAATGTTATAAGGTAGTTTTTGGTATTGATCACCTCTCTTTCCCAGATTTCTTTGTGTTTGCCAATAAGCATACGAGAGCTAACCATGACTATAAACTTTACCTGAAAAGAGCAGTTTGTAATTGTTATAAATATTCTTTCTTCATTCACATTGCGGGGAAATGGAATAGCTTGCCAGGATACAAAAGTCATTGTACACGCCACATCATTGTCTGTTTTTAAGAGTAGACTTAAAATTTATTTGAATATTTATGGAATATTTATTGAATCTGTAGCTGTTAAATTTTATCTTTTGTATGTTTTTAGTCAGGGAAATTGTTTTTATACAGGGCTAACCTCACGATTTTCCCTTTTCAGGATGTATTTTTTATATTTGCATTTCAGCTTCCTGAATAAATGTTGTGTTATGTTATGATAATTTTTTTCTTTTTATGTAATATTCTGTCAAACATTTTTATAAGGACAAGAACATGAAAAAGACAGTGCTGTTTGAAACATGAAATTCAATTACATGTAAATTGTGCAACCTACTCTTTGTCTCAAAATGGAACATTATTAAACCTGCTGGGATTGGTCCTTTAAGTGGTGGGTTAGGCTAAAGCATCAGGATCTAAATACTTGTAATGTTTTGGATTGAACCAACTTTTTACAGGTCACTGGAAGAGAATAGCAAAATCAATGTGACATTGACAATGAAAGCTCCTCTCTGTTATGTGGATGTGATCATCCATTAGTGTGTGAAGGAAGACCGCTTTTCTAGCTTGGAGGTCTTTTGGACTTCCAACAATTACCCACATCACTATAGAGACCAATATTTTGTCAGTCATTGAGTGTTTTTACATGACGTCATGACAGCCATTTTGGTGTACTAAACAAAGAGAAGTTGGCCACATTGGTGTTCCAAATTAGTCTTGTGGGAGTTGAACTCTTTTTCAATAAAAACTTTTTCTTTTCTTTTAATGGAAAACAAGATGGATGGTCACATGGGGGAAAAGGCTCCATTATAGTAGAAAGGATAAAAAAACCCAAAATCCTGATTTCAGAAATCAAATTTATTCAACTCTTGCTTCTTCTCAACAGAGGAATCCTGAAATCTCTCACATTTTAAACAACCCAGATTTGATGAGACAGGTAATTGAAACAAAATTTGACTAAAGCTCTAATCTTAGAGAAAGTTGTAATTAATATGAATTGAGTTATAGAGAACTTCATTCAAATCACAGCACGCACAAGCATTAGAAGTTTATTGCAGGTGTTTTGTGGTTGATTATGGTATACTTTACTCAAAGGAAAGGAATTTTCCTAGTTGTTATCAAGAGTAAAAACAGGTTGTTTAAATTATACACCACAGGAGCTCAAGTGTGATTACAGTGCAAGAAAGGAGCCATGCATTTCATCATAATTTTAATCAGTTTTGCTTGCTTTGGTCCAAAGCATGCAATGAAACAATTTAATTTTCTTAGAGTCATTGCTTATGTCCTATTCTGTTACTGCTTGGTTTTTTTAGAGGGCTCTCACCCATAAAAAACTGCAACATTGCACAGTTGCCTTGCAAAGAGCAAAGTTTTTTGCCCTCCCAAACCATTAACAAGGCCTTTTCTTGTAAAACACTCTCAACCATTGTTCAGAATAGGTACTTATGGGGGGTGATGTAAACTTTATCATAAGTGTGATGAATGAGGAAATCAAGGCTGAGTTAGTGTAGGAGTGATTGAGTGAAAAAAATCAAATTGTATTTCAGCCTTTTTATTAGAATGCACCATGTAAAATAAAAAAAATGAACTTTACATGCATTGTAATCTTTTGTACATGGAGTTCATCCCAAATTATGAGGATTAACAAAGTTTATGTTACTTTCCTTGCAGACAATGGAGATGGTGCGGAACCCCTCTGTAATGCAGGAGATGATGAGGACACATGACAGGGCACTAAGTAACTTGGAGGTAGTGTAGGATAGATTTTGGCAGTAATCGCACAAATTAAAACCAGTAGTAATGAATAATGATGATAACCAAGTTGATAATAATAATATTAATAATAATAATAATAATAATAATAATATGATGTATGATAATATGTTGTATGATAATCGGGTGGTAGCGTGAAATCAGTTTGCATTGGCTGTTCTTGGATATCTTATGTGGACACAACAGTGGCCGGTGATGGAACTTAAGCAGATCAATAGGGAAGCGCGCAAGATTGTTGTCGAGAGTGGGGGTAGACACCCATGTAGTTCGAATGCATTGTTGTATATGCCAAGAAGTAAAGGAGGGCAGGGATTGCACTCTGTTGAAATGGAGTACAAAGCCACAAAAATCAAAGGTGCAGTCAGACTCCATGGTAATGAAGATCGTGCACTGGGAATGGTACGGGAGTTTGAAGAGCAAGCGGAAAGGATGGGGCGTAGGTCAATTTTTAAAGAAGCGGCTACGTGCGCTGAGGAGTTGGGGCTGAAGTTGGATTTGGAACACGTGCAAGGGATCAAGAAAGAGGTGCGGAGGTGTCAAATTGAGAAGTTAGAGGATGAGATCAGAAACCAACGATGGCAAGGGCATCTAGTGACTACCAGGCTGGAGGATGAGAGTTTGAGTGCCAGCGGAAAGGATGGGGCGTAGGTCAATTTTTAAAGAAGCGGCTAAGTGCGCGGAGGAGTTGGGGCTGAAGTTGGATTTGGAACACGTGCAAGGGATCAAGAAAGAGGTGTGGAGGTGCCAAATTGAGAAGTTAGAGGATGAGATCAGAAACCAACGGTGGCAAGGGCGTCTAGTGACTACTAGGCCGGAGGATGAGAGTTTGAGTGCCGATGGGTGTTTCTGGTGGCTCACAGAGTGGAATAACTGCCCATCACACACAATTGCTGGACTCGCCGAGCTATATGAGCAGCTATTGCCAACGCCAGTATACACAAGTCAGAAGACCCACACAAGTGGAGAAGGCGAGGTGAGGTGCAAATTATGCGGCAAGGCTCCAGAGAGTGTGGCACATATCTTGTCAGGATGCAGTGCGCTGGCCCAGAGCAAGTATCTCTCTAGACACGACACAGCACTGAAGGTACTGTTTTACCGACTGTTGTATAATGAGGGATTTATAGACGAGATACCACCCTGGTACTCACTCGACAAGCCGAAGCCCGTGTATGAGTCAGAGAATGTTAAAGCTTATTGGGATGTCCCTATATATGCTGATCAACAAGAGGTCAGATGCAATAGGGTGGATGCATGCATTGTAAATCATATGTGCAAGGGAGTTGTGACGCTGGAAATGAGCTGCCCGTGGGTTAACAATTGGACAAGAAAGGATGAAGAGAAGACACTGAAGTACGGACCCCTTCGGTGGGAACTAAGGCAACAGTTCCCAGGCTACGAGGTGAAGCAATATAACATCATTATGGATGCCCTCGGGGGGTGGTCACAGGAGCTGGATGTCATGATGCGCAAGCTGGTGGGAGGCAGAAGTACAGATGTACTGCGAAAGATGCAGAGGACAGTGCTCTCGGGCATGCTGAATATTGCCTGGACTTTCAAGGTGGCAGTTTGACTTCCTGTTAGAGGGAGGACCGTAGACACAACGGAAAAGCTTTTTAGGATTAGTTAATGTACATTTATTTTTTTACTCCATGGCTCACAGGTTAGGGTTTTCACCCTGTGCTGCCTGATTAGAATGTAGCATTCAGTTGATTTCTCTGCGACATAATAATAATAATATTAATAGAAATGTTAGTAATATTAACAATAGTGGTAATAGCCCTGATATCTCTCACTCTTATCTTGACAAAAGCAACAGCTGGGTGTCAGTTTGCTGACAAGACGAAGATTCACCATCCTCTCCCTAAGGATGATATTAAGTTGTATGCCTTATTAAAAAGGATGAAACCAATCTCAAATCCCTTTAACAAACTAAATTAAAAGAAGGAGTTTGTCCCTTTGATCAATGTAGAAAGTAATTATCCTAAGCACCCAAAAAAGCATGAACTTTTAATTCATTTCCTGAACACCAGAGACACTTAAAAGATATATTAATAAACATACAGGTCTCATGGAACATGCCTTAAGTCATATTATTAGTTATTTTCTTTCATAGTGCATCATGAATTCCTCTAGGCTAGTTTTCTCTTTCTTCTTTTTCTTAGATCTTTATGTAATGTGGATTGTATTGTATTGTATCTGCACACACAGCTTTATATAGTTGATGAAACAGGCATCCAGTCGTGAACATTTTATAATGCTTCTAGAGGGTAACTGATAAAATTTAATGTGATGCATATATAACAGAAAATCACTGACAGCTAAAACCACTTGACATATAATTTCATTCATCTTGAATTTAAATTGTTTTATCAAGTTTTGGTCAAAAGTGGAAACATTGTTTTTGGATAAGAAAAGCATTTAAACTGATTTTTATTTTTATGGTGAATGGCCTCATACTATTTAGTAAGTTGTTGTTTATGTGCCAGTGTGATTCACAATGAGAATTACATAGTGCCTGAAGGTAGTGACACTTGCAATGCATTTTATACAAGTGCTATTCTCTTTTTATTCAGTTTGTGTGATTTTGAGGTTTTTCTTTGGTAATTCTAAACTGATATGTTCCTCATTTGTTTACCGACAGAGTCTACCAGGAGGTTTTAATGCTCTGCAACGGATGTATACAGACATACAAGAGCCTATGCTGAATGCTACACAAGAACAGGTTCAGTATGGACCTTATCTGGTGATATTCTCACCACCGCATATTGATTGATTAGTTGTTTACCAATTAAAAAGTAAGGTGTTAGAACACAAGGATGAAGCCTATAACATTCTGATATGACTGAAATAAATTCTGATATTTCTGAAATAAAGGACACCAGCTTATTTACCCAACATATAAAAGCATTTTTCATGAACTCTGCTTTTGTCAGACAAAATATGTACTTTGAAATAAAAGCTAGCGCTAAGAAGTCACGACGTTTCGACCTCTCTGGGGTCATTTTCAAGTGAGTAAGTTTTCCAAATCAGCGTAAATATGTTGAAGCAAGTTAAAGACGATAAAATGTGGCGAACGCTAAAATATGTGAAAAAGTGTAACAATATACAATGGAAGAGAATAAAAGAATAAAGTAATCGTAGCACGAATTGTTGTAAACAAATAGTTTGGCGCGAATTGAATCGCACTGTTTGTTTAGCGTTGTTTTCAGTTCTTTGATAAAAAAAACATTTCGAAAACAATACAGTCAAATTTGTTCTGACACTTTCTTAAGATTCGAAAACTCTGTGTGATGTCTTCTGGCTCCATGTCGTGCTGCTCTCTGAAGTGGTGTCCGATTGCCGATCCTTTGTGTTCTTCAGTCCTCATTGGACTGCAACCGAGAATGACTGCATGCGTGATCATCTGTTTCAATCACTCCTTCTCGCCGAGTCTCGCTTCCCAAACTGTGCTTTGATTGTTGCTGGGGACTTTAATCGGTTAGATGTAAAATCGATTCAAAGGCACTTTCGGCTGAAGCAGATTGTTAAAAAGCCAACCCGGAAAAATGCGATCTTGGACTTAGTGTTGACTAACATGCATGGTTTCTATGCTGATCCTCAACACTTTCCACCCCTTGGACTCTCCGATCACCACACTTTCTCCGTAGAGCCTAAAGAAAGAATAGAGTCTCGTCAATCTCCAAAATTTGTACTGAAGCGTGACAAGCGAGGAAGTCGGCGAGCCGAGCTTTGACGGTGCCAATCCATAGTACCAAAGTACCGAGGACGGTACTTTGGTACTATGGATTGGCAAACACTGTTTTCGTCTGCTAGCTGTTGTCAGGATATGCTTGACATACTTCATAATGTCATTCACACCGGTCTTAACATCCTTATGCCTGTTAGAAGAGTTCGTGTTAACTCGTCTGACGTCCCATGGATGACGCCCCACCTTAAGTCGCTGATTCTAAAGCGACAGAGGGCTTTCCGTGAACACGGTGTGGAGTCATCTAGCTACAAGCTCTATAGGAACGCTGTAAATCGTGAAAGAAAATCATGTAAAGCCTCCTTCTATAAGGTCAAAGTCGAGCACATGAAGGAAGAAAACCCTAAGCTGTGGTGGAAAGAGGTTAAACTTCTAAGTGGATCCCAATCCAACTCGGGCAATGTCATCAATCACCTCTACATCAAAGAACTTGAGGATTGTAACAATCATGAACTTGCAAACATCATTAATCAGGCTTTCCTTGAACCACTCGAAGAATATCGCTTGGAACAGCCGCTGTCCAAGTTCCCAGTCTCTGCTGACTCGCCAAAGCTGCATGAGGTATCCGAGTTGAGGATATGAAGCTGCTGGCTACACTGAATCCATCAAAGGCGTGTGGCCCGGATGAAATACCTAACTGGCTTCTTAAAGAGTATGCTGAGCTCTTGGCTTACCCAGTCTCTAAAATCATCAACTCTTCGTTTAAAGAACAGCGTCTCCCGAAGATCTGGAAGTTCGCTGATGTCTCACCATTGCCAAAGGTGAAGCCGGTGGAGGATCTAAAGAAACACCTTAGGCCGATTTCTCTCACCCTTTGTCTATTGAAAGTTGCTGAAGAGTGTGTCGTAGCTGACTACGTGAAATCTTCCCTACTTAAAGTTCTCGACCCAAGCCAGTATGGCGCTGTGCCGAAGTCGTCCACAACTCAAGCACATATACACATGCTTCACCATTGGACCAAGGGATGTGATGGTAACGGAGCAACTGTTAGGGTCACACTCTATGATTATATAAAAGCATTTGACCTCATAGACCATAGGATTCTCGTTAATAAGTTATGCAAAATAGATGTGCCGATAGAAATAATCAATTGGATCATAGATTTTCTAAGTGATCGTTCCCAGAGAATCAAACTCTCAGAGGGATGTTACTCCGATGGGGGATCAGTGCCATCCGGGGTACCCCAGGGGACGAAACTAGGCCCGTGGTTGTTTTTGGTCCTTATCAATGATCTAGAAATCAATAATGCAGGCAATATCTGGAAGTGTGTTGATGATACAACTACATCCGAGATCGTTGTGAAAGGAGCCAGTAGCGATTCCCAATTAATTGCAGATACTGTCGTGCAGTGGTCATCTGAAAACAGAGTAAAACTAAACAGTGAAAAATGTAAAGAGCTAAGGATTTCATTTGCAAAGAACAAACCACAACTCGCGCCTATAGTAGTAAATAACCAAGAGCTAGAATGTGTCGAAAGCGATCTCCAACAACCTTACATGGAATAAGCACATTGATCAAACTATAAAGAAAGCTAAACGTATGTATTTCCTAATACAATTGAAAAGGGCCAAAGTCGCAGGAATTAATTCTTTTTTATACATCTTGTATAAGGTCAGTCTTGACCTACGCATCGCCTGCGTTTTTCTACGCCCTACCATTGTATTTAAAGAAAGATCTAGAGAATGTAGAGAAACGGGCATTGTCAATCATTTGCCCGGGCCTGGCCTATAGAGAGGCCTTAGAGCTTTCAAATATTATGTCTATGAATTACTACATCGCTAGCTTATGTAAAAAGACCTTCCTCTCGATTGCTAATGACCCGGCCCATCGCTTACATAAAATGTTTCAATCGTCAGGGCCGTCGTGTTATAATCTCCGGTGCAAAAGGCGTTTTGCGATTCCCAAATGTAGGACCGAGCGTTTCAAAAATAGTTTTTTTGTAAGATCATGTATTAACGAATTTTAGGGCTCGGTGAGTTTTGTAAATGAGATGGATGCCGTTGTATATATTTTAACAGTTCAAGCTTTCATCATATTTATAGGATATTATTATTTATTAAAAACTAGATCATTGGATAATGCAATTCAAGACTTTTTATTGGCTTAGCCATTATGGTATATCAGCCAATATACCATAGTTTACAAATATGGCAAGCGTACGTGTCAGCTTAAAATTAAAAGGGAGCTAAAAATTTAATAAAATTTAATAATTTAATTTAACTTTTTTAATAAAACAATTATTCCACTCTCGCTTGTTGGATATGAGATGATTATAGCCAACTCGGCGCTACGCGCCTCGTTGGCTATCTATCATCTCATATCCAACGCGCGCTCGTGGAATAATTGTTAAAAT